CACAAGTTTTAACTAATACATAGAATAATGAGCTCAGAGACTTGTGCAAGTATTGGCGCCGACAGCCGAGAAGGGTCATAAATCTGGATACATTTTTGAAGTCAAGGTTCCAGAAAGCCTCTCTAACGTTGGACCATTTTATCTAGCTTCCTATGAGAGATATCAAAAAGTTGCCTACTGATAAAATGTTAGGGATACTACGATAAAAAAATTTATTAGTCAACAAATTTTTAATATCTTTCACAGTAACCTAGATAAATTGACTCAAAGTTACAAGCCTAGATCGATCGTCTATTAAGTACCTTGGCTCACGAAAACCCCCTAATCTTTAGCAGAAGAAGTCGTTGAAATGAATGATGCCTCCCCAACTATAATGGACAAAAACCGACAGATAATCCTGTCAAGAACGGAACCCAACTGGCAATCCTTATCATCTGGAAAACACATCCAAACCTATGGAAGAGATCCAAATGGAAAACTCATCCCGCTGTTTGGAATCGAACCAGCAGCACCACAAGTAGAACAGAAAGTTATAGAGTAAGCTTAAACATGTTTTTCGAATTTAAATAAGGAACTTCTTACAGACCATACCCTCCAAGAGAAATTCGCTATGCTTACCGTACTACCCACCGACAACCAGTAGTTTATGTGCCTGCTGCTCCTGCTCCGGCTCCACCGCAGAACACGATTCCAGTTCCAGTGGCTTCCTATCTAGTAACTGTATATATTCGGATGTTTTGTATTAAACATGCTTCTTATTTTCTAGGCCAACCCTTCTCCTCAGCCCATCCAACTACACATACTCCCTCCAATTCCATCACCACCAGCTCCTCAACCTCAGATCATCTACCAGCAGACCACACAAGCTCCTCAGTTCTTCACATTCTCTACATTTGCTCCAACTACGGATAATCAAAATGATTGTAGTAATGGACAGTGTCGACCCGAGTCGGATGATGAGAAGTGTAATAGTCAGAGATTGAGAACTATCATTTTTAATGTGAGTCTTGGAAGTTGCCAACTATTTTGACTATTTTCAAGAGTCTAGAGCTCAGCTGTCAAGGCTCCGATCACTTTGAAAACTTTGAAGGGTGTAAAACAGACCTAGGTTGAAAACTTTGCATTCACAGATTTTTTTCAAAATTCCTACTTTTTCAGCTATTCGCCGATTTTTAGGACATACATACAAAAACGTATTTTCCGTTGAATTTCGAATTTTTCGAATTTTTAAAAATCCCTAAATCCGAAATTTCTTGTGACTTTTGTTTTTCGGCTTTTTTTTGCCTGTTTTTTAGCTAACTATAACCATTTTTAAGCTGTTTTCAAGCCGATTTTCATTATTTTCAATGGTATTCTAAGTCTATTTTAGCCTAATTTTTTTTTGGTCTGTTTCACATTTTCCCAAATTTTCAAAACAATCGGAAACTTGACAGTCGAGCTCCAGACTCCTGAAAACGGTCAAAATGGCTGAAAATCAAATGAAGAATAAGCGTTTTGTATATCTTATTGACTGGTACTGTATCTCGCTTCCTGTAAAAAATATCAAAAAGTAATCAACTGACAAAGTGTTTTAGGTAATCTGATAAAAATTTTATCAGTTGACAACTTTTTGATATCTTGCTCAGGAATCGAGATATATGGGTTCAAAGTACTGTGGTTCTTTTACATTTCAGAACATTGTGAATGGCGATGCGGAAGCTTCAAAACGAGCTGTCCAAAGTGCCGCCGAAGCGGACACCGGCTTATTCTTTGACGCCATCTGTGGAACTGGATTCTTCTCCTACATTGCTCATACCGACGAATTCTGCTTAGCATCGTCTGGAGGTGTCAACTGCTACGTCTTCGCTCCAATATGTCAAGGAGGTGATGAGCAGAGGAAGAAGAAGTTGAGCAAGAATTGAACATGAATAGTGGACACGGGTTATGATAATTGTGATAATTGTGATATAACAGAAATAAAATTCATTATTTCGCGGGTAGAGAATTGTATTTTGAAGATGAAGAAAATGTGAAAATTTACACTCGGGGCGCTGTGTGGAAGGGTGGGGGTGGATGATTGATGATGGACGATGGGAAACGGACAAATTGGTTGTTAGGAAAAAAGGAAAAAGGAGAGAATGAGGGAAACAAAAGGATCTACCACGAATGCTTTCCATCCTTCTTCTGCATGGATCTCAGTGGCTCTCCTTGAAGGTACGGGTTGACCTTCTGGTGGTGCATTGGGACGGATCGCTTGCGGCGTGGCACGTATTCGTCGGAGCTTCGCTTGTCGTGGAACTTCTTGGCGATGGTGTTGGCGTGCATGTTGTTCTCCTCGAGGATCTTCTGAAGGGACTCGGAGACGTCTTGGGCTTCCTTCTCGGCGCAGCTGAAAAAGGCAATAAATAAAATTTAAAGCTTGGATAAAGACTCCTGATACTTACTTGAACATATGCTCCTGATCGCAGATACAGTGTTGCTGGGCTTGGTAGTTGCGCGAGAACTCGGCACTGTTCTCGAACTCCTCAATGCATCCATGCTCTTTGGTGAAGCCCACTGGACATGGGTTTGGTGGCTCACAGTAGGCGGGCAAGACGTTGTCCGACTTGACCTCTTGACGCTCCTGATAGTTATCCTCTTCCAGAAGCTTCTGCTCTCCCTCTCCGGCTCCACCAGAGATGTGCTTGACGCCGTAAGTCGAGAGGTCCGGGAGGTTTTCCGCGTCACGGGAGATCAAATCGATGAAGTCACCGGATGGGAGCACGAAGTCTCCGGCCTGGAATATTTGCTTGAATTTGTTCTAGCTGAGCTAGAAAGCTGGTTTCCGGGCACTGTGCCAAAAAACTAATCAAATCAACCCTATGAGTCATCTTCTCTCACCCACATGTTAGCCTTGACTTGAATAAGAAGAATTAGCTGAATGGCCATAGTACAAAATCAAATCACTCCTTCTATAGAAATGAGCTAGATCAAGTCAGAAACACCCCGTCATGTGTTATTTGAACTTTTGAACAGATACGAATTCTGAGAATCTCTAGAATTTCTATTGTGGTTCTAAATTCCCAGAACTCCTTTCACTTTGAGCTCAATTACCTCGGTTCCTATGAGAGATATCAAAAATCTGTCCACTGATAAAATATTACTGATATTATGATAAACAATTTATTTGCTGACAGATTTTTAATATCTTCTGAAGGAACCGAGAGAAATCAGGTCAAAGTTAGAAGGACCAACGCTCGAATAGAAGCCCACCCTTTACGTTCACTTTAAGCTTAATTATCTTGATTCATATAAGAGATATAAAAAATCTGTCAACTGATAAAATATTGGTGATTTTATGATCAACATTCTATCAGTTTGAAATTTTTGTATATCTTTTGAGCTAACTAAGATAATTGAGGTCAAAGGGCGTGCTGCTAGTGAGCCACGCTGTGGGCGCGGCCGTCTGGGCCAATCCTGTACGTTGACTTCGAGCTCAAATGTCTCGCTTCATAGGAAAGATATCAAAAAGCTGTAAGCTGATAAAATGTAGCTGATATCATGATAAACCATTTATCAGTTGACAAACTTTTGATATCTCTAATAGAACCCGAGATAATTGAGCTCAAAGTGTATGCATAGGATGACCCATTAGATCATAATGTGTTCTAAAACATCTACCATTTAGTATTTGGACTGCAAATTTTTTTTGGGTCAAACGTAGAAAATATGTGCCACGTCATCACTTCCTGAACGACTAAAAAGAAAAAGAAGAAGAAAAGTGGCATGCAAGGATTATGAAGAGATTTGTATTGGGGATAAAAAAATATGATGCCCACTGGATATGCTCCTTTTCAGCAGCCAAGAGAGGATGCTCTACTGGAAGCACATCTTATACGTCCACTTTGAGCTCATATAGCTCATTTCCTGGGAAAGATATCAAAAAGTAGTCAACTGATAAAATGTTTATCATAATATTACTAATATTTTATCAGTTGAAACATTTTTTATATCTCTTATGGGAACCGAGATAATTGAGCTCGAAGTGCAGGTGTAGGATGGACTTCTATTAGAGCATTCACGGTGATTGGAAGCTTTATGTAGCAAATAGATAATGATTTTTTGTAAAACGATTTATTCCAATTTGTTCTAATAACTTCGAAATCCCAGATTCCCACTATGGCGCATTAAAAATGTTCTCTAGAATCTCTAGCTAGCTTTTCTAGCGAGCTTTCTAACTGGTGATATCATTGAGAAGGCCTCAAAAAGGTCCCAAAGTGAAAATCCCACAGAAGCACCCATTAATGGACCCATACCCAATTAAACTCACATTCTCCAAATCTAGACCATTGATGGCTGCGACTCCCGCAGCAAGTAGAACCAAAGAAGCGGCACCGAACATTCGGGCGCTCGCGTGGTGCTGAAATGTGAATGCGCCGGGCTTGCTCTCTCCTTGGGGGTAGAGGACAGAGCCAGAGATCGGAGACGCCAGAGACAAGAAGACGTGCTCTGAGAAGACGAGGAGCGCGTGCTTGAGGCTTCCAGAAAAATCGATGGGCTGAAGGCGTGTACGAAGGCGTCCGTCGTGTGAGTGTGTTTTTGTGAGCTCTTTTCTGTGAGCTCGCTCTCTTTGAGGCCATCCACTATGCCTGCTTGCTTTCTGGCCACGTCATCGGGGAAAGGGAAGAAAAATGAAAAGCAGAGCGAAAAAAAGGGGAAAAAAGAGAGAGTGCTCTGACTATGATTAATGCATACTTGGAATTTTTTTTTGAAGGGCTGGAGGAAGATGAATTTCAGATAGGGATTAAAGGAGGGTGGGTCGGCTCATATGTCACGGGCCAGGGAACGGAATTGTCAACTTCGACCTGATTTATCTCAATTCTTCTGAAAGATATCAAAAAGGGCTAAACTGATAAAATTTTTATCATAAAAACCCAAATATTTTATTAATTGACAAATTTTTAATATCTCTTACAGGAACCCAAATAATTGAGCTCCAAGGATGGGCCTCTAGAGTGCCTAACATAAGTATAATACAACCCAAAAATCAAGCTATAACTTTTTGAAATCACAATTATTTGAAAATCTAAAAACGGAATCGTAATTAGTATCTATAATTACCCCAGGAGACTGATTTAAATAGTTTAACTCTTCAAAATGACCAAATGACGGGACAAAAACGGAAAAATCGGCTTCTGCAAGCCAGAGCGAATACGGTACTAGCCAGCTACCAACTTCGACCTAATTTATCTAGATTCATGTTAAAGATACCAAAAATTGGTCAACTGATAAAATGTTTATCACAATATCAGCAATGTTTTATCTGTTAACAAATTTTCTATATCTCTCCCAGGAACCGAGATAATTGGGCTCCAAGTGCATGGATAATGTGGGCTTCTAATAAAGCATAGGCCCATCTAACTTTGACCTAATTTATCTCATTTTCTGTAAAAGATATCAAAAAGGTATCAACTGACAAAATGTTTATCATAATATCAGCAACATTTTGTCAATAAACAACTTTTTGATATTTTCTACAGGAAATGAGATATATAAGCTCAAAGACGCCGGTTTGGGTGGCACTCTATTAGAGTGGTTACGGTAGCTTGGTTTCTAGGAAAGTTATTAACGAAGTCAAAAAGAAGAGTCCATAAAAAAGAGTCCAAAACCCAGAATTCCTGTTCTTCAATGGTTTTTTGGCCTTTTGATGTCCTTATCCTTATCAAGTGCCACCATGACGGGAGAGGGGATAGCTGGCTTTCTGGTCAAGGCCTTCTCAAAGTACAAGGTGTGTCAAATACCGTAAAGCATGTATTACCAGGGAACCTGAATTGAAGAATCCCTCTAATAGAAGTGCCCTTTTATTATCTGAATGAGGTTCCTTCTTAGTGAGAATTTATCTTAGTGTGGATCTTTCCTAACAATCCTTTCTAATGAAGGTTTGAAGGCATACTGTATTTCAGAGCAAACTAGATACAAAAGAAGTTGTACCTTGGAACTCTTCCGGATAGAAACTGTTCGGACGAATCAAACTAGAAACAGAATGACTGCTGAATTCAAAAAAAAAACAATCCAGGTAGTGCCAGGCTGGTACGATGTAAAAATACAAATTCTGCAAAAATGCTCTCCGCAATCAATGGAAGATGGTCTCTGACGTCTTAAAACACTGTGTCCGAAAATTCATAAATTTCGAGGTGGAGGAGGGACATATACGCAATTTGGCTGCTTTTGTCTGTAGTATGACCTCGATTCTCTTTTTTTTTCGCCTTCTAATACTACAAGATAACGGTCAGTGTCCTCGGCACAGGTCGGCAGCTGCAGCCGAATTCTTCTTCTTTTTCTAATTTTCTGGATTCTTCAATTTTTTTCAACTGGATTTTTTTTTCAGAAGCACTTTGAGAAGGTACAGTATGATTGTTCCATTCATGCGACATCGGCCAAAGAGCTGGGATCGAGACTGTGCGTTGAAGAGATACATTGATGATAGTGTGAGTCGTTTTTTTTTTCTGGTTATCAGAATTCGGGAGAGTGTGCGTGGTTTCCGGGAGGATTATGACCCTGATGTATGGCAAATTGTGAGTCTTACTGTAGATTCAAATATCTCGGTTCCTATGAGAGATAGCAAAAAGTGGTCAACTGGTAAAGTATTGGTGATATTATGATAAATACTTTATCAAATTGAAAAATCTGGATATCTTTCAGAGGAACCGAGATAATTGAGCTCAAAGCTGAAGTTTTAAATAAGCTTCAGCCTAGATAAATTAGGTCGAAATATGAGGGATTTTCTGGTTCAGGGTATACGGTATATTAGCTCAAATTTTAGCATTTTTTAAAGCTCTTATGGTTCGTGGCGTCTGGGACCACTGGAACCTTTGAAAATAATTTTTAAATTAAAAAGGAGCCTAAAAGTTTCCCTAAGTCAGCCCTGAAATCAGGTAAAAACTACCGTATATCCTCTAATATGAGCCAGCCTGAACTGTCAACTTTGAGCTCAATTATCTAGGTTCCTGTAAAAGATATCAAAAATATGTCTACTGATAAAATGTTGGTGATACTATGATAAACATTTTATCAGTTGACAAATTTTTGGTATCTTTCACAGTAACCGAGATAATTGAGCCCAAAGTTTCATTGTTCAATTTTCTCAATTTTCGATGATTTGCACTGTTTTTTCGATGTAAATCGGCAGAATCATTGAAAAAACTGTGAAAATCGTCGAAAAATTAAGAAAAAAAAAGAAAATAGTATTTATTACGGTAGTTCGCTCATGCGCCTTTAAGACAACTTTAACAAGATGGCCGCTCTCAACTTTTTTTTTCTTAAACAGTGATAATACAGAAGTATCCTTCTAGGTTTGATTTTTGCAATTTTCAGAACCTAATTTTTAAATGACTACAAAATTAGTCATATTTAGCTTAAAATCGTTATTTCTTCCCAAAAACATAGTTTCCGGAAATTTGGAGAGTTGTGACTTATGATTTCGTTTTTTTTTTTGTTACTTTGATGTGATGATGAATTCAAAAATGTTACGTTTTAAGCAATCAAACTTCTCCTTTTTTCATCAGAACCCAGCAAAAAACGAAACTGACATTTTGGCGACAGCATGTCATCGGATTTATGTCGGCTTTTTTTTAAATGGAAAATGACATTTCAAAATGTGTATTCGTGGCGAGACCCCGATTTCAAGGAATTCTCGACAGTATCATTGACAATATATGAGGAAAAAAGAGGTCAGAGACCTCTTTCTCTTTCTCTGGGTAATGTAGACACTGTACGGATGGCCGCGGCGGGCGGGGAGGCAGGCAGAGAGACAAAGTTTTCACTTTCTCTCTATCTCTCTCGTTATCTCTCCAATCGACAGACTCTCTCATTACCTGTCTTCTCTCTTTTTCGTCCCTGTTGTGCATTTCATACAGTGCTCTTTTGCCCGTTTTTCGATTGTGGGCGCGCGCTTTTTGGAATTGATAAGGCGATTCACCTAGCTTTCAGTTTTTGCTTTATTTCTTTTTTCAGCCGTTTATAACCAATGTGACTCACATTCACCCCCTTTTTATTGTTGAAAAAAATTATTTTTATTCAAGAAAATCGACAAAAAACGATATTCGTGATAGGACGCGAACGATATTTTTGTGGCATGCGCCTTTAAACAACTACGGTAGAAGAATTAGCGCTGCACTTTGAAAAAATGCTTTTCTTCGCTGATTTTTAAAGCATTTTTTGCACATTTTAGCGAATTTTTTTTTCTCAAAATCGAATTCATAGCCAAGGAATTTCATTCCTTTTCTATTATTGAAAAAAACTGAAAAAGCAAAAAGGGCAAAAAACGGTCTTCGTGGTAGGACGCGAAAAATGTTTTCCGGCATGCGCCTTTAAAGATTACTGTGGAAGAATTAGCGCTGCACTCTTAAAAAGTGCATTTTTCGCTGATTTTCAATCATTTTTTTTACTTTTTCGCGAGTGTTTCTCTTAAAATTCAATTAATAAATGCAAAAAAATTGTTTCCAGATGAGCTCAACACAAGGAAACATCTTCACACGAGGCCTCTCACGAATTTCGAGGCGGAAGAAAAAGACGAAAAGTATACAGAATTCGCTGGTCACCGAACAACAACCGTCGTTCGATGCGGCTGTTGTTCCAATGCCCAATGAGAAAAGGTAGATTTTTCGCCCCGTTTTTTCGTCACTAATAAAGTAATTTGCGGTGATTCACCGGCGGCAGCGAATTAGTACAATTTCCAGTTTTCGGCAAGCACTTCAGTGTATTTTCTTTAGAATTTTCTCTAAAAAATCATCAAATTCGATTTTCAGGCGATTTCTATGCGGAAAACCAACTTTTGCGCCTCTCTGTGCAAGCGCGCCCTAATGATAACCATCACTAATGGACCCCCGGTCGCAATTCATCACTAATTCCCTCGATTTTTATCGATTTTTCGCTGAAAAAAGCTTCAATTTCACTTTTTATGAAAATTTAGCTGAAAAATCCAAGAAATATGTCATTTTTCACACCAGAACCGCTTTTTTGCCTCGCGAACGCCCCTTTACTCAAATGAATCGCATTTTTCAGCACAATATTCTCAAAAGGGATGGACCGACTGCGAAAATCGTTGCGGCTGCCGAAAAAGCGACGAGATAGGAGTCATGATAGGCATTTGAGTCCAGATGTGAGTTATTTTTGCTATTAAAAGGCTTCAAAAAGGTCTATAACACTGAAATTTGAGAGAAAACCTCAATTTTATCCTTAAAAATCGACTGAAAAGCAAAGAAAATCCGAGAAAAACTAATTTAGAAGATTAGAAAGCGCCGAGAAGAGAAATGAACGATGTGCTTGGTTTTTATGGCTCCCTTGCTTTCTTTTTAGGCCTGAAAATAGCAAAAAAAAAGGGGAAAGAAAGAAGATTTCAATGCTGAATTTCACTTTCAGGTCACGGGCGGCTCGAAAACAGAACAATGGCAGCCAGACGAAGGCGCGGTACGAAGTGGAACGTGCTGCTTCAATGTGAAGTACCTGGGAGCCGTGGAGGTCTACGAGTCACGAGGGATGACAGTCTGTGAAGGAGCCCTAAAATCTCTGAAAGCAACTAGAAGAAAACCTGTAAAAGCTGTGTTATACGTGTCTGGAGATGGTCTTCGTGTCGTGGATCAGGGCAATTCTCGAGGACTGTTAGTGGATCAGACTATAGAGAAAGTGTCGTTTTGTGCACCGGATCGGCAGACGGACAAGGGGTTCGCCTATATTTGTAGGGATGGCGCGTCGAGGAGATGGATGTGTCATGGATTTTTGGCTACCAAGGAGACGGTAAGGGTGTTTTTAGAGCGAAAATTCGATTTCTTTTGTTATTTTTAAGCAAAAACTCGTTTTTTTCTGCAAAAATTCATATTTTCAGCTTAAATTCGGCTCTGAACGATGCCTAGATCCGGTGGCACAATCCTTGCATTTAAAAGAGCATTTTCTCGATTTTTCACCGAATTTCATCAATTTTGAACTATTTTTTCAGCAAAAGTCCGGAAAATCACAAAAAATTGCATATTTTCATGATTTTTATGGAATTTTTTTGCGATTTTTCGCATTATTGTCTGAAAAAAAAAATTATGCCAGTTCGATTTTTCGATACCGTAAAATCTGTAATAGAAGCCCCCCCCCCCATACTGTCAAGTTTGAGCTCAATTATCTAGGTTCCTGATGCAATGTTTGTGATATTATGATGAACATTTTATCAGTTGACAACTTTTTTATATCTTTAACAGGAAATGAGATAAATGGGCTCAAAGTTGAAAGTCGGGGGCCCTTCTATTACAGGTTTTACGGTAGGTATGCTCCTTCAAATGCGCCTTTAAAGATTTTACGACTGGGCCTAAGCTCCGCCTATTGAAACTAGACAAAATTCCTCATATTTCCAGGGTGAACGCCTATCCCACGCCGTCGGCTGTGCCTTCTCGATTTGTCTGGAAAAGAAAAAGAAGCGAGACGAAGAATCAACGCCACAAGGTGCTGGAGAGTTTTCTGGAACCCCTGCCACGTCATCATCCAACAACGTCGACGTTTTCCATCCCAACTGGGGAGATTCTGGCATCGAGGGACCTTCCTCCGCCACCAATACACCTACGCTGTCATCTGGAGCACCGGCTTCAAGATCCAACCTAGCCTATCAATCATTCCGGAAACACGTGTCCATCGAGGATCGCTATCTGGATCCGCAGTCAGTGATTATTAATGAGGTGCCAGCGTCGAGCCATCTGGATGAGATCAAGAGGATATCGAAACCAAGGCCCAGTGGGAATCCAGCGCTGTTTCAGAGACAGGTAAGAGAAGAGCTTGGACTTGAGCTTCAGCTTCAGCTTCAGCTTCAGCTTCAGCCTGAGCCTGAACCTGAGCTTGATCTAAACCTGAGCCTGAGCGGCTCAGGCTGAGCCTAAGCCTGAGCTTCAGCTTGAGCTTGTAGAGCTTGAAAAATATCTATAAATTCCAGGGCTCCCTTCGCGCACCAGACATGCCTTCATCAACCGATCAATTCAAGCGAAACCTCTCGTTGAGGCCAGTAGGAGGTGGTTCTGGAGTCGTTGGGGAGAGAGTTATAGAGAAAAAGGTGAGTTTTTTGTTTAAAAAACCTTTTTCTGTCCATAAGTGCTCAAAAATTATGCTAACTGCCAATAATAGTCTAGCATCCGGTTCCCGACGACGACGTCATCATTTTTTTTTCCGATTTTTTTGCATAATCCTCTGTCACGCACCTCTTGACGCCTCGATTCAGTCGACCGAGAAAAAAAAATCACACTTTCCTCTATATTCCCCAATATTCCAATGGTCCTTCTCGACACTGAATACGTGCGAGCCGTTGTTCATACCGTGGGGACTCGCGCCAGAAGGGGCGTGGCTTCTAAAGTCCGCGCTCTGAAGCTGGCTCACTCCCAAGCAAGACTCCGCTCCTATTCGCAGTGCTGTGAGCGAGCTGCCTATATAGATGGACGGTGCGAGTTCTATCCGAGTCTCTCGATTCCATGGGCTTCGGAGGGGACCACGAATGATGGGTTCAAAGATACTGTCTGGGAGAGCCGCTTCCCACTATCCCGCTTAAATTCTGAAACTGATGAATCGGCGAAAACCGAGCTGCGCAGCTTGATGATGCGGGATCATGAGCTGAAGACGTCGTCTGAAGCGGAACTTCAACGCTTGATGATGTGGCAGGAATTTCGACGCGCTGGTGTGGATGTAAATACTTGCTCGCCGGGTTATGGATATGGGATAGAGGCGAGAATCGAGCCGATTCCTTTGATAACGGAGAGAAGAAGTAGTTGTCCGGTAAAAATGACTGAAAATGACCTTGAAAATGGTTAGAATTCACTAAAAATAAGCTTTAAACTATGCTGAAAATAGGCTCAAAATAGGCTAAAAACGATAAAAATAGGCTTCGAAAAATCGAAAAATTTTAAAGGCGCATAAAATGAAATTTTGGCTTTCGTGATCTTCAAAAATTAGGCTTTAGACTCCTGAAAATGGTCAAAATGGCCAGAAAACGGAAAGACACGGTTTTCTATATAAAAATCCCCTATTTTTCAGTCCTTCGGCACCCAGCTCTACAACCAACCGATCTACGAGGGAGACGAGGATCCTTTAGGACTTGGCATCGCTCCATCCGTCCCAACGTCGTCTACTACAGTACTCGCCAAGAATGGACTAGATGGAATCGATTTGTTGTACAAAGGAGTGCCAGCACCACAGCATACCGGCCTTGTCGGAGGAGCCAACGGTGACTTTGTGGCGAATTGGCCCCAAACTCATACTCAGGCTCAAACTGCTCCACAAAAACCTATGGGTTTCGGACCCCTGGACAAGCTTCAGAAACAATTTGAAGACGTCAAACTGATTAGCACGTCATCTGGAGAGTCAACACCGACGGCTCGATCGAAAGCAGATGAATGGCTGGACGATGTGCTTCGAGTGTCGATGAGCATGTCTCCAACGTCCCCAACGTCTACAGTATCGCCTCCAGGAGCTGCTGCCTACTCGACACTTCCAAAATCGGGACCACCTCCGGCTCATGCGCCGCCTCCGCTACCTGTCCGACAAGCGGTTTCCAATGGGGACCCATCGATTTATCAGCAACAGAATAGTGTAAGTATATAGGTTTTAAGGCTTTTCGAAGGCTTCTAAGGGAATCCTAATGCAATTAGGACCTTCTGAACTTATTTGAGGCTTTTCAAGTGCATTCAAGGCATGCCCAAGTCATCCAAGGCCTTCAGAATGCATCTGAGGCCCTCTGAAACCATCTGAAGTCTTCTGAACCCATCTAGGGCTTTCTCAACCTATCTAGACCTCCTGAACCCATCTAAGGTCCTCTGAACCCATATAAGGCCTTTGGAAGGCACCTAAGGCCTTCTTAATGCACCTAAGGCCCTCTCAACCCATCCAATCACATATAAGGCCCTCTAAACCCATCTAAGACTTTCTCAACCCATTTTTTTTGCATTCCGAAGGCATCTAAGGCTCTCTGAACCTATCTAAAGCCTTCCGGGCCCATCTAAGTCCCTCTAAACCCATCTAAGGCCTTCTTGAGGCATCTAAGCTGAAAATTCTGACCCTCTAAGTTTCCAGACCCGCAACTCCCCAGCTGGAATCAATTGGAACGCATCGCCTAATCCAATTCAAATGCAACCGATCGCTCCAAAAGCCGTGGACCCGTTTGATGTGCAATGGAGCCGTCTAGAAGTTAACAACGCCAAAGCCATTTAAATTTAAATTTTTGAATCAATTCGGTGTCCTTTTCTATATAATAATATTTTAATTGCCTATAAAATAATCCAGGTTATTTTTAATCTATGTTTTAATTGCCTAATAATCCCGTATTCCATGTAATTAGGACTCAATATTCGCGCGCCTTTTTCTTGTCAATTCTTGTTCCAACCCATTCAATTTTTTTGAATTTTTTCCATGTTCTGCACGTTTTTTTTGTCTTTTTTCAAACTGGTTCTATGTGTCCTTTTTTCAGCCGCCTTCGAATTGTCTCCCTTGAAAAAGTAGCCACAAAAGAATTTTATCTAAATTTAAAGATTTTGAATAAAGTGTTCCGAGCTTTTTAGGGGAAATTTCCTGATTTCTGCCTATTTTTTGTGTTTCCGGTTGTCTTTTCCCCATGCGAATTGGATATTTTAAAAGGCTGAAATCGATTTTTCAGGCAAAAATGGCAATTTTCAGCTTAAAAATTCAAGAAAAAATGAACAAAAACTAGAATCTGTGCATTTTTGCGTCGACACACTAGAGAGTGTTTGCGTACGATGCATTCTATTTTACGACGAACAATTTTTTGAGCGACCGATTTTTCGCGTATTTTTAAAGTCGAATTTCGATTTAAAAAACGGAGATTTAGACGAATTTCGACACAGAAAAGTACAAAAAAGGCATTTTAGCCGATTTTTTCCATCAAAAATCCCAAATTTTCGGATTTTATTATTATTTTTTTGTCAATTTTTAAGTCAAAAATAGAAAATTAGACAAATTTCGAAGCAAAAATCTGGAAAAAAAAAGTCCAGAAACATTCGGAATTTCCGCCTTTTTTTCGATTTTTTCCATCAAAATTTCGAATTTTCAGATTTTTAAGTCAATTTTTGGCTTGAAAAATGGAAAATTAAACGAATTTCGACACAAAAAACCGAGAAAATCGACCGATTTCTCCACCAAAAATCCCAAATTTCCAGATGTTCTCCCGTCTCGGAGGTCTCCTAACCGGGTTGTCGAGCACAATTAGTTGCTCGCTGAGAGCCACCACTTCAACACTGCTCCCATCATCAGCTGCACAGTCTGCCCGTTTTCGACAAGTTTTCCGGCATGGCGCAATAATTTTTTGCAGGTTTTCAGCCCTATTTTAGGTCAAATACCCCCGAAAAATCGATATTTTCAGTTCATCCACTACCGGAACGGACCGCCAAAGCGGCGTGCGCGCAGTAAGGACAAGAGTCCGATCAGTGGATACAGCCATTTCAAGGGAATCGTGCTGAAAAGTATGGGACAAAAATCGTATTGAAAATTTTCTGAAAAAATCGAAAAAATGCCTAAAAACACTGAAAATTTTTGATCAATTTTTCCGAAAATTTTGAAAAAAATTTCGGAAAAAAAATATTTTTTTTTCTAATTCCCGCCCCTAAAAATCGATACTTTTAGCTGTAATTCGTCACCCGAAAAAGCCAAATTCCGGAAATCGAAAATGCGCAATTGTGAGACTATCGACAGGAGCGGAAGTTTGTGCCTATATTCCCAACGTTGGACACAATTTACAAGAGCATTCACAAGTAGGATTTGACTCCTTATTTTTTGAGAAAAGACCCCTATTTTTGTAGGTACTGGTTAAAGGAGGACGTCGACGAGACTTGATTTCGGTCAAAGCCAACATTGTGAGAGGAAAATTCGATTGCGCGCCAGCTGGAGGACGGAAATAATAAGCTGGAAATTCATAATTTTTAGGATTTAAACTAGTTTTTCTTCTTGTTCTTCTTTTGTTTATTGTTCTCCGTTTATTGAAAAAATATTGATTTTTCGCTTTTTTTAAAAATATAATTGGGTCTTTATTCCCATATTTTATACTTGCTTTGCTGTTTTTTTTTGTCAAAACTTCGATTTTTTTAGACAGAATTAGCTAAAAATTTGAAATTTTTGTGAAATTTCTGACATTTTTGGACCCTGAATTGCCTTTTTATTCTGAAAATTCTGATTTTCAGGTTATTTTTCCAAAATTCGACGGTGGGCGGAGCTTAGAAATCCTTAAAGCATTTTCAGGCCTATTTTTTCAGATTTTCGATGGATTTAAACGGTTTTGAGATGTATTTTCAGACAAAAGTGCGAAAAATCGCGAAAAAAATTTGATAAAACAATGTAAATTACTTTAAAAAATCGAGAAAAATTGCCTAAAAACAATACAATTTTTTTTTGATTCTTCAAAAAAATTTCATTGTTTTTCGAATTTTTTTCTACAAAAATCGGAAGAATAGCAAAGAAAACTGCAAAAAAAGATAGAAATGATTGAAACATCGGGAAACATTGCTTTGAAAAAATCCGATTTTTCAATAAATTTCGTCACATTCGGCTTATTTTTGATACAAAAATCCCAAAAAACGCAAAAAACTGCTTAAAACATGATCTTCCAACGATTTTTCATGATTTCTATTCAATTTTTTGTGATTTTTTAAAGAAAAAATAGTTCAAAATCGATGAAATTCGGCGAAAAATCAGGAAATAAATGCGCCTTAAGGGACTTCGCACTAAGCCCCGCCCACACTGAGAAAAAAAAATTCTGAAAATCACAATTTTCAAAATATGGTCAATTTTGGTTTCAAAACGTTCGAAATTTTACAAAAATTCCGAATTTTCAGCTCATATTGTCCCTAGAAAGTCCAATTTGCGATTTTCTTCCCAATTTTCAACTAGACTCAGCCTAAAATCCCCATTTTTATCAGCTTTTTCGTAGAATTACAAGTCTGGATTATCTGATTTTTTTTCCCGATTTTTCCAGCAATGGAAGTTCACATCAGCGACGACGAGAAGCTCTTCCTGATCTCCGGCGTCGAACAGGACATTCGGAACGACGGACGAACGTGTGCCGATTTCCGGACAATCGTACTGGAGAGAGGTGTTCTCTCGGGTACCAACGGATCGTGTCGGGTGCAGCTAGGACAGACTACCGACGTTTTGGCTGGAATCAAGCTGGAACTCGAATCATTCGATCCGGCTGCTGAAAAAGAGGCAAAACAGCCAATGAGCTTCCACGTGGATTTCTCAGCGAACGCTAGCAGCCAATTTGCAGGTTAGGCTTCCATTCAAAATTAAGAAAATAGCCTGAAATAGACCTAAAATCATCAAAAATGGTCTAAAATTTTGAAAACTGGTTTTCTCAGTTTTAACACGAATTTGGATGATTTTCGGTCTATTTTAGGCTATTTTAGGTTTTTTCTTTGGCTATTTTAGGTCTTTTCAGGCTATTTTAGGTCTTTTTGATTCTATTTTAGGCTATTTTAGGTCTATTTTAAGCTATTTTAGGTCTATTTTAGGCTATTTTAGGTATTTTAAAGGTTGTTTTAGCCTATTTTAAGATTATTTTAGGTCTATTTTAGGCCATTTTAGGCCTTTGTTAGGCTATTTTAGGCCTATTTCAGCCTATTTTAGTCTTATTTGAGGCTATTTTAGGACTATTTTAGGTTTATTTTTTTGTATTCTACAGTAACCTACAGTAATCTTTCCAGGAAAAGGAGGCGATCAGTATGGTGAGGAGATCTCCGCGGCGTTCCAAGTCGCCTTCTCCCGATCCTTGGACATTCTTCCGAACCTTTCGAAGACTCTTCTCGCCGAAGGCTATCGATGGAAGATCAACGTGGATCTGTCGGTGTTACAATGGGCTGGAAGTGTCCCGGATGCTTGTAGTCTCGCCATTATAGGCGCACTGTCGGATTTGGAGGTTCCAGAAGTTGAGGTGGCACCGGATGACGGAGGAAAGGTGTCGATTGTGTTGAAACGGCCAAGGACTGGAGGGAATATGAGGGATGAGGAGGTGCCGGTCGCCATGTGGAAATTGGATGTTCAGAGGTGATTATGGGTTGATTTTGTTCAAAAAATCCTGAAGATTTACATAGAAATTGAGAAAAAAATAAGGCAATCATTTTGAAATACCGTAAAACCTGTATTAGAAGAGCCGGCCCTTCTATATGAGGGGCCCTTATAATACAGGTTTTACGGTAATTCAAAAACTGAAATTTAAAAAAAAATTCCAGATTTTTGCGACTTTTCATGAATTAAATTTTCTTTTTTTTCTGGTTTCTGAGTTTTTTGAAATTTCTGGAATTTTCAAAAATTCTGAATTTCTGAAATTTCTGAGTTTCCGAATTTCTGAGTTTCTGGAATTTTCAGAAGTTTGGAATTCTCACTTTTTCGAAATTCCTAATTTTCTAAAAATTGAAACTTGTAAAATTATGAAACTTGGAAGTTGAGAATTTTGTGAATTTCAAAAATTCAAAAATTTAAAAAATTCCAAAAATTTAGAATGTTTGGAATTTTGTAAAATTATGAAAATTGAGAATTCCGAAAATTTTGAAACTCTGTAAATACAAAAAATTCCCAAGTTTCTGAAATTCTGAAACTATAAAAAAATCGAAAATCAAAAATCCGAAAAATTCCTAAAATTTCTAAAATACAAAAAAAAGAATTAAAATTATATTTTTTGGAAAAAAATTTTCAACTTGTCAGTTGCACAATCTACATGATTCTAAATGATTTTCGGCACAAAATCAAGCTATATAAATGTTTTTTTCACATCAAAAATATCATTTTTCAGCTGCCCCATGCTTCTGACAGTCTCAAAAATCGGCTCTGCGAATCTCGTCGACTGCTCACCGGAAGAAGAGTGTTGTATCCGATCACAGCTTCTAATTGGAGTGGCCAAAAATCTCAACGTCGACGATTACGATATCACATGCATCAAACAGCACGGAGGAGGTCTTCTAGAAATGGAATCCATTCAGGATATGACCGAGTTGGCTAGCAAAACGGCTGGCGGGCTGTACCAAGCGATTGAGAAGCGACTGAAGACTGAGGAGAAGAGGAAGCCCGGACACTCGTTTTTGCTATGAAAATTCCTTTTCTTTTTCTTTCTAAAATCATCGAAGATCCTCAATTTTCATTTATCTTGTTATTGTTGTTCTTTGTTGTTGATGCGCCATTTTTCTGGCCTTTTCTACGCATAAATGTGTGAAACTGTACTGTTTTAACCTTTTGAAACAATAGTCCATGTTTTAAAATTTTATTAAAAAACACCGGAAATTCATGAAAAAGTATAATTTGTCACCTAGAGGACCACAATGAATATCAGGAATTCGTTTCGAAAAAAGCAAAACAAGTTTTACACAGTGGGGGTCGAACCAGCAAAGGCACTCCTATCGAGTCACCCTCTTACCGCTACACCACGCAACCCACATCTTTCCATTCACGCGGAGGGCGTATAGGAGAGAGGGGAAAAGCGCGCCGGAAATTTTCAGCTTTCTGATAGGAATGGGATTTTTCGTCATCGTGTAGAGGAAGTGCCAAACTATAAGTACTGAAATTTTCAGCGCAAAAATGGGTGTTAATCTGAAAGAAGCAAGATTATTTGTTTTTTGAAATTTTTTTTTGAATTTTTTATTAAAAACATGTTCTAAGTTCAATTTAAAGCTTTGACTCGAAATTTCAGGCTCAAATCTGCTGTTTGTACAAAGTTATGAATTCTAGAAAAAGTCCAATTTTCATGATTAGTTGTTCGGGGAAGCAGAGGAAGTTTATTTAAGATATGATTTTTTTTGGACCATGAGCTGGAATAAGGATTTATAGTTAAACCGGATTTTCTTCAGATTTGTGTACTGGATTAGCCAGACAAATGTAGTCTGCTGATCCCTTTCGCCACGTAGAGGCTCAGTACATAGAAAAGGAAAATTATTTTTTACCGGGGAAAAAACCAACCAGCAACCCCATTGTTCGCAGTCTGATCCTCAGCATGAGTGGCGTGCCCTGTTCTAGTGATGCTGCCTTCCAGTGAACCGTAGAACACTGACCGACTAGACCACCAGCCCATTGCCCACGCAGACCTGCCTCCCAAACCTTGAACAACTAAACTGATTTTTTTTATAGGGAGAAAAGGGGGCGGGGCTTAGCACACTTGGCCTAATTCTTCCCGTGGGAAACTCCGCCCCTTTTCAAACGTCATAGGTACTGTTTGCGTCATCAGATAAGTAATTAGGGAGCAATAAACCGACAACTTTCTGAATTTTTGGAATTTTCTAAATTTTTGAATTTTTGAAATTCACAAAATTTTCAATTTCCAATTTTCATAATTTTACAAAATTTTAAATTTTCAAAATTTTAGAAAATTAGGAATTTCGAAAAAGTGAGAATTTAAGAAAATTTGGAATTATCAACTTTTCAAAATTTCAAAATTTGGGAATTTTTTGTATTTACAGAGTTTCAGAATTTTCGGAATTCTCAATTTTCATAATTTTACAAAATTCCAAACATTCTGAATTTTTGGAATTTTCTAAATTTTTGAATTTTTGAAATTCACAAAATTCTCAATTTCCAAGTTTCATAATTTTACAAATTTTCAAATTTTAGAAAATGTTTTGACATGCATGTGACAGGGTGAAGAGGAAAAGACAATAGATGACCTGATTCGCCTCTTTTGACCCTTTGTTATCGATCGGGAACAATGAAGGAACACCGCCAAGGATTTTCCGCAAACCACCATTCCCTGGAGAGTGCACAATTTTCTAGGCTTTCGAGATCATTTTCAGTGTTTTCAAGAACAACATTTTTCTATTAATTTGGTCTTTTAGCATTTGAAAAATTATCTGTAGTTTTGAAAGAAGGAAGAGACGAAACAGGAAAAACAAAAGAAGAAAAACTCACTAAAAATTCTAGAATAACTACTACTCGAAAAAGAAAAACGCAAGGAAAAAAAAAGGATGGACCCTAATCAATAAAAATGGCTGGAAATTTGAAAAATAGAGGAAAACTTGAGATTCTCAATTGGTCCACGGCTCATACTGGAAGAGAAAAGAGGGATCACTAGAACAGAATCAATTTTTCTCAGCTCCTGTCAAAGATACGAAAAAGGTGTCAACTGATAAAATGTTTATCATGATATAAAAAAATTAATAGTTGACACTTTTTTTTGATATGTTGCATAGGACTTGAGATAAATGAGCTCAAACTTAGCCGTGTGGGTGTGGGGGCGGGGCGTTTCTATTGCTGGTTTTTCGGTTTTTTTTGAACTGAAAAATGGAAAAGGTAGAATTTTTCGAAAAAGAAAAAACAAATCAATAGTGAAAATCTGTAAAACCTGTATTAGAAAGGTCGGCCCATTCTATATTTTCAAGGTACCTTTGGAGGGCCCTTCAATTAGAGGGGGCCTTTCTATTTTTCCAGCCTGTTTTTTTCCGAAATTTTTCATCAAAATCTGCCAATTTCACCAAAAATTTAATAAGATTTTTATCGAAAAATAAAGTTTCGACGAATTTTTATTAAATTGTGGATTGTTCCCAGAATATTTTCCACTGAAAAAGAAGGGAAATTCTCGAATTTCAAAACATATGTTGAAGCGGGGGCTTTTTCCCAGAGGGCCCTTCTATTACGGGGGCCTTGTATTCTCCCAAGCCCCTCTTGGAGGGCCCTTCTATTAGAGGGGCCCTTCTATTAAAGGGGCCTTTCTAATACAGGTTTTACGGTAATTGTGTTCAGTATATTCTCAAATTTTCAGACAAATATTGACCACTGTGGCTTGCAAGCAACCTTAACTACTGACCGTTCTAACTTTCAATTTATCTTATTTCCATTTTTCTCACAGTCTATAGGAGGTCATCAACTGGAACTTGGGCTAACTAAAATTTTTTCCCGCCTTAGCATTTCTTAGGTTTCTCTCAATTGGACGTGTCTTCGAGACTACTGTAGGTGCCTGGGGGGAGCAATAAGGCTCGCGCAGAGAGAGAGGTCGGATAGGGCCCTTCTATTACGGGGGGCCCTTGTATTCTTCCAAGCCCCTCTCGGAGGTCCCTTCTATTAGAGGGGCTCTTCTAATACAGGTTTTACAGTAATTCAAAAACTGAAATTTAAAAAAAAATTCCAGATTTTTGCGATTTATCAAGAATTAAATTTTCATTTTTTTTTCTGGTTTTCTGAGTTTTTTGAAATTTCTGGAATTTTCAAAAATTCTGAATTTCGGAATTTCCGAATTACGGAGTTTCCGAGTTTCCGAATTTCTGAGTTTCTGGAATTTTCAGAAATTTGGAATTCTCACTTTTTCGAAATTCCTAATTTTCTAAAATTCTGAAACTTGGAAATTGAGAATTTTGTGAATTTCAAAAATTCAAAAATTTAGAAAATTCCAAAAATTCAGAATGTTTGGAATTTTGTAAAATTATGAAAATTGAGAATTCCGTTTAATTTGGGAACATTGAGTACTACCATCGTCCAACAAAAATACTTGGCAGTACATATGAAATAAAATTTATGTTTTTTTTGTCAATATACGTTTTTTTATTGTGTGGGCTGTTTGATCATGTTCATCTAGCAGCAAAAACTTCAAAACTTTTCACTCTTTCAAACACCTGTCTATTGGCATCTATCTCTTTTTTTCTCGATTTCCGTTTCTTTCATCATATTCCCACTTTCAATTTCTTCCTGTTCCCTATATTTTGCAAAATTCTTCTTCTATTTAGAACACATAAAATACCAAAATTCCTATCTTCTTCTTGTCTGATTGCAAAACGCAGATAAAGATATTCAACTGTTCTGCTTCTGCTGCGCCGGAACAGTTGTCGCCGTTCGGATCAAGATGTTGAGAGAGTATTGGAAACGAGGAGACGCAGAGACTTTATAATAATAAGATGAGGCGCAGAGAGATCATAAAACGTTCGTAATAATTGACATTTTCCGCCTATTCCCCCCAAAAAGTTTTCTACACTTTTGATTTGAGATTCCCAGTTTTCAATGTATAGTTTGAAATGGGTGTGTTAACTTTGAGCTAAACTATCTCGGTTCCTGTGAAAGGTATCGAAAAATTGTCAACTGATAAAATGCTTATCATAAGGTGAAAAACATATTGTTAGTTATAAATTTTTTGATAGCGCTTACAGGGACCGAGATAGTAGAGCTCAAAGGGCAAGTTTAGGAGGAGGCATAAACCCTCTGATAGAATGACCCGCAAAGAAGCCTGCAACTTTGAGCCTATTTTGCTCGCTTCCTGTAAAAGATATCAAAAAGTTGTCAACTGATTAATTGTTTATCATGATAACAGGAGTGTTTTGTTAGTTAAAACTTCTTGATAGCGCTTACAGGAAGCAAGATATCATAGCTCGAAGGCTCTATTAGGGAGGGTACTCAAGCCCACACTAAATGTGCACTTTCAGCTAAACTATCTCGGTTTCTGTAAAAGATATCGAAAAATTGTCAACTGATTAAATGTTTATCATAATATCAGTAATATTTTGTTAGTTGAAAAGTTTTCAATATCTTTTACAGGGACCGAGATAATGAAGCTCAAAGGTTCAATTAAAGGGGGGGGGTGACTCAAGCCCACGTGCATTTTGAGCTTAATTATCTTGCTTCCTGTGAAAGATATCAAAAAGTTGTCAACTGATAAAATATTGGTAATTTCATGATAAACAATTTATCAGTGAAAATTTTCTTACAAAAGAGGTGCTTTCATATTGGCTTTTTTTGAGAATTTTCTAAAACTCTGGTCCCTAGTACTTTCAAACGTGCTGATTACAGTGATATGATTCTTTTTGAGCCCTTGCACCTCTCAAAAAAGTTATGGACTCTTTTTTTCAGTATTAAATCCATTGGGGTGCACCTTAGTTTTTTTTCGCATAATTTACGACCTTTTTGAAAATAGCTTAGTTAGTTTTTTTACGATGTTCCAGCAATTTCGAAAACTTGCTTTCTTTCTTCTCTCCTGGTATTTTTCCATCTATTCTCTCCTCTCTGTCTCCAGTTTTCTTCTGATAAATGGCTCATTGACACCCCGCGTCTCCCAATTTTCTTCTTTCAATTTCTTATCAATTGAAGACCAAACATTTTTTTGTGTGTGTTTCTTTCTATTGACGAATTTCTCCCCCTTTTTGTCTATTTATTTTTTGAATTACAGTGCTTGGCTGAAAACGTAGCAAAAACTTTTTTCTTTCTTTTTTACTACCGTAGAGCCTGTAAAATATGAACATTTTGTTAGTTGACAACTTTTAGATATCTTTCACAGGAAAATAGATATATGGGCTCAAAGTTGACGGTGTAAGGAACTTTCTATTAGAGGGAAGCCTGCAGTGGTCAAACGGGCGAAAAGATGACTCAAAACCAAAAGTTAGGGTGCCCTTCTATTACAAGTTTTATTATAGTAATTCGAATTCCCAAAATACCTTCCTAATTCTCTAAACTAACATAATAATCTCTGACCACTTCCATTTCAGAGGGGTGTTCCTCAGATAATTAGTCATTTGAAGGAATTCCGATCATTTCTTTCTTCTTCGTGTCTCTATTCCTATTCGCTTGTCATCATCAATTACATGTTTTTTTGTTCTCAGTTCCCCTCCCTTTTCCAACCCATTACATATTGCGCTTCTTCACATTTTTGCCCTTTTCTATTTCTTCTTCCGGTCCTCCTCCTCATCTGTTTTATAATTCTGCCTAATGAAATTCCTCGAAAAAATTCGCGAAAAAGGAAATTATTGGAATCAGAAATTAGAACATCGAATTAGTTGTGGAATGTTGTACTTTTTGTGGGCGATCGTAAAACTGAATAGACTATCAGTTTCTTTTTTTTGTAGCATGATGACTTCTGTCTTCTGAATTCGTAGCATTTTTTGGGTGGGGCTTTTTTCTAGAGTTCACAAACCATACCTTTTTTGGCATATTTTAAATTTTGTTTTTAATTGAAAATGGTTAAATGTAAGTGTCTAAAAATCATTTAGTACTTCCCGGCTAGTTTGAAAATTTCAGAGACTTTTCTAGTTCTACAAATACCATTAAACCTGTAATAGAAAGGCAGCCCCAGTCGTCAGCTCTGAGCCAATATATCTCGCTTCCTTCGAATGATATCAAATAGTTGTTAACTATTAAATTGTTTATCATAATATAATAAACATTTTATCAGTTGGCAACTTTTTAATAGCTCTTATAGGAATCGAGATAATTGAGCTCAACGTTGACCGTACTTACTCTAATAGAAGTTCACCCAAACCTTCAACTTGGAGCTCAACTATCTCATTTCTTGTAAGAGATATCAAAAGGTTGTCAACTGATAAAATGTTTATCATAATATCACAAATATTTTATTAGTTAAAAGCTTCTCAATAGCTCCTATAGGAATCGAGATAATTGAGCTCAAAGTTAAGAGTTAGGGCCGCCCTCTACCGTACTTGCTCTAATAGAAGCCCACTCAAACCGTCAATCTTAAGCTTATATATCTTAGTTTCTGTAAGAGATATAAGAAAGCTGTAAACTAATAAAATATTTGTCATAATATCAGCAACGTTTTATCAGTTGACACATTTTCGACATCTCTCATAGGAACCGAGATACTTCGCTGGCCATGAATCTATCCCCTTTTAGTTTTTTTTTGAATGTAACTGTTTTAAAAATAGAGCTGAAGCGTCAACTTTTTTGTAAAATGTAGCAAATAACCTGCTACAAAAGAAAATCCAAAAAAATAGAAAACCATCATGAATGTGAAATTTAAAGGAATAAAAGTGCTCTTCTATTAGAGGTTGGCAGTATATTTTTCGAAAATTGTTAACTATGAAAATAAGGTTTTACATATGGTGTGTAATTTCTGAAATTTCTAGCTACACAACTCCAAGCTGACCGTTTATCGTAACAATAGAAGCCCATCCTATACGTTTCCTTGGAGATCAATTATCTCGGTTCATTTAAGAGATATCAAAAATTTGTCAACTGATAATTTGTTTATCATAATATCACAAATATTTTATTAGTTAACAAATTTTTAATACCTTTCATAGTAACCGAGATATATAGGCTCAAAGTGCACGTATAGAGGGCTTCAATCCAGTACTGAGGCTCCATTTTTCTCTAAACTCTATTCCGTTTAATCTTACTAGATTCATTTCAAAACCTGAATTCTCAAAAAAAAAAGTTGCAGAAAACAAATAGTTGGTCCGTCTTCCCAATGTCAATAAGCAACGGCTGGTCGTCGTCGTCAATTATATCCGACGTGCTGCCAGAAGAAGAGTTTGAAGAGGTTGAGGAAGGTAATTTCCCTCTTTTTACATTCTTTTTCTTTTGCTCCTTCTTTTGTTATGTCTTCTATGCTTTTGTTTGGTCCTAGAGAGGATTAGAGACACACAAAAAACCTAACGTTGTGCATTTCAAAGTTTCAATTAAAGCTAAAAAGATAAAGAAGACGTTTCAAAAGGCGTCCTTTTCTTTCTAAAGCGTTCTTCAGAATCTCCATGAATCTCTAAGTATAGACTCATCCGAATGCATTTCTAAGCATAGAGAGAAAACTATTTATATTCTTCGGCTTCTTTTTACTTTTTGTCCCATTCTGCTCTAGAATGTTCAATGTTCCGGGTTTCTGTACTCTCCGGTCCCAGGTACAAACCCAACAGCCAAGGGGAGCCAATTTTTGTGAGTTTTAGATGATAACCCCTTCAATTTGAGAAGTATGAACTTCCAAAAGCGAAACTTCCAGATGAACTAATCCTATCTGAAAACGATCGTCTTCGAAGTCGAGTTGAGGAGCTGGAGAAAATTGTGGTAGCGCAGAGAAATGAAATTGTGAGTTTTTCCATCTTTCAGCCATTATTCCAGTAATCCCATATCCAGGTTTTACTGCAAAGCTCGACAGTGGAAATTCTGCGGCGCTTGCAAAATTTGGAGGTTCAGGAAAAGTCGAAATCCCCAGTGTCATCGGGATATAACTCTTGTAAGTTACTAATTCAAATTTTGGGACTTAAAGGACCCGTTTGACTATTAGTGAGGATCTTTCTTAGTGAGGAAATTTCTTAGTGATGAAAAAAATCCTCCCGAGTGAGATCCTCCTTGATAAAGATATTTTAGTAATGATTTTTCTCAATAAGAATCATCCTTAGTGAGAATCTTTCTTAGTAAGGACATCGCCATGAGGAACAGATCAGGGGTACAGCGCCGATACCGGCTGACTATTAGTGATAATATTTCTTATTGAGAAAATTTCTTAGTGAGGGTGTTTAATCAAAATCCAACTTTCCAGTACCCCGCCGAATCTCCGGCTCCAAAAGTACCTACTCTGTGAGCCCATCCTCTCAACACCCCTCTTCTCTTCCACGTCAATCCCATTCCCAAAACTCCAAATCCATCTATATCAACGGAATGAGCAGCACCGAAGACGTCGCTCAGATGCCTCGTCGTCCTCCAACACGTGGCAGTGATATGGTCAATGTGTCCGTTGGAAAATCGGCGCGAGGATCGCCAATGAGGAAATGGGTGTCCACTCATGACATGAAGGATACGGAGAGGTTCAGAAGACTATCCACGTCCTCGGAAGCCAGCACAAGTGCCACGACTATCACTATGAATCCGATTGTGAATAGTGTGAGGAGATTGTCAACGTAAGATCATGTTTTTTTTTGATTTTTGAGTGTTTTTCTTTGTGTGTACGCATGGAATTTTTAGCACCCACCGGCAATCCAGCCCTTCACTTCTATCCCTTTGCTCAATTGTTTCCAGAAATCCGAGCACGTCTTCTATCTTGCGGTGTGTGACTTTTTTCTAGAGCACCCCTGTAAAACATATGCTGTCAAGTTTGATTTCAATTATCTCGGTTCCTTTGAGAGATATCAAAAATGTGTAAAATGATAAAATGTTAGTGATATTATGATAAACAATTTATCAATTAACAACTTTTTCCTATTTTTGACAAGAATCGAGATAAATTGGCTCAACGTTGGTGCTATATATTACTTCAAAAACTCATCATCCTAGTTTCAGGCGGAACAATAGAGCTTGCCAATTTTCCACTGGAAACGACTATTTGCCAATTTTCATTTCCGGAAAATCGGTACATGTTCCAGTGCCCACCGGATATGGTTGGTTGAAAATCAGCCAGGAAACACAGAAAAGTAAAAAATGAATTTTCAGAGAACATTGATCCAACGGCAGATCAAGACCCGCCAAGTGTGAAGGCCACATTGAAGCATGTGTATAGTAAGTTTGAGTTCAATTATCTTGGTTCCTATGAGAGATATCAAAAATGTTTTAACTGATAACTTATTTATCATGTTATCAGCAATATTTTCTCAGTTGACAATTTTTTGAAATCACTGACAGGAAATGAGATATAGAAGTTCAAAGTTGGCTTCTAAGAGTAAATTTTTGCAGGCTACCGGGGAAAGGATGTAAGGTCAAATATCGAAGCATTGCCAACTGGAGAGCTAGTGTTCTTCTCAGCGAACATGGTGATTTTGATGAACATTGTTGGTGATGATAGAAGTCAAAGGATCTACCATGGACATACTTGTGATGTTAAATGGTTTGTTTGACTACCTAAAACACTGTAATAGAAGACCATTGAGCTCAATTATCTTGAATCCTGTCAATGATGCGGAAAAGTTGTTAACTGATAAATTGTTTGTCATAATATCAGCAATATTTTATCAGTTGAAAGATTTTTGATATCTCTCATGGGAACCGAGATAATTGAGTTCAAAGTTGATAGGTGGTTTAGAAGTCGGCAGCCGACCGCGTAGCTCAGCCGGCATAGAGCCCTAACAGTTAGGAGGCTCTTCTATTAGAGGTTTTTCAGCATCGCACTTCACCCTAACAAAATCCTCGTGGCATCCGGTCAATCATCCTGTCACTCATCGGAAAAAGCGCTAAAAACTGAGCACACTTCTCCAGTGGAATCTCCGGAAGAGCTGGTGAAACAACTGGAAATGGAACACACAGAAGCTCATGTTAGAATATGGGACACCGTTAAACTCACCACCCTAATGATTCTCACTGGTTTTGAAAAGGGCATTTGCCACGTGGCATTTTCTAGAACCGATTCTGGAAGTTCGTTGGCGGTGGTGGATGATTCGCTGAAGCATACGCTATCGGTTTGGAATTGGCAGAAAGGAAAGCGATGTGGAGAAGTGAAGGCAGCGAATGATCTGGTTTTTGAGTGCAAATGGCATCCGACTATTAGAAATTTGATAGTTGTGTATGGAAAAGGGCATTTCTCGTTCTTTAATTATGATCCGGCTACTGGAGTTTTGGTCAAGACTGTTGCCACTTTTGAGGTGGGGGATTTTTTCTGAAAATGGTCCAGAGTTTTTGATCCATCCAAAAGAAAGAGCAACAAAAACTAGAGATTTCGGTACAAAAATCACTTTCCTAGGGCCCCTGGGAGCCGAGATACGGTCATTTGAAGTTTTGGAGGGCTAGAGACGCAGATGACAAGACGCTCGAACTGCCTGCGTCTCTCCAAAACTTCGAAAGGCTGTATCTCGGCTTCTAGAAGTGCTAGAACGTTGCTTTTTGAACTAAAATGAAGTTCAGGATTTGAGAAGTTTTTTGGAAATCTCCAAGTTCCTAAAAATCCAAAATTTCTTATTTCTGTCCGATTTCAATATTTGATCTGCAAGGTTTTGCCCAAGTCTTGCCAAATACCGTAAAACCTGTAACAGAAGTGCCCCCTGACTTTCAACTTTGAGCTCAATTATCTCGGTTCCTGATAAAGATATCAAAAATGTGTCAACGGATAAATTGTTTATCATGATAGCAGCAACAATTTATTAGTTGACAAATTTTTTACATCTTTATCAGGAACCGAGATAAATGGGCTCAAAGTTGAAAGTCAGGGGCACTTCTATTACAGGTTTTACGGTATACATATAATCATGGAAGATTTCAGGGTCGAGACAAACCAAAAACCGTGTTGAGTCTATGCTTCGGTGCTGACGGACAAGTGGTGACTGGCGATTCAAACGGAACTATCTCAATTTGGGATCCGAGAACATGCAAGACCATCAAACAAGCCCATTCGGTTCATCCCGGCGGTGTCTACTCCTTAGCACTAGCAAAGTCTGGAAAATTATTATCCGGTGGAAAAGATCGTATGATTTCGGAATGGGATGTTAATGATCTAGTCCGCTCGAGAAGACCAATTGAGCTGCCAGATGAGAAGGGCTTTCCACGTGTCATACTTCAAAGTGGGACGGATTTGGTCATCGGAACGTCTTCAAACACCTTGCTACATGGAAATCTAGACAATCCAGCGAATCTAGCAAGTTTGATGAAGGAGACCCAGGAGACCTAACATCTCTTCTAACCTGTGGCGATGCCAAACTGATCACTACCTCCCAATGTGGTACTGTACGCATTTGGAATCATCTGGAGAAGAAAATTGAATTCTCCAAAAAGTTCATGGATTCTGTAGAGTGTGTTGATGTGGATGCTACACATACACACATCATCTTGGGATTCGCTGGTGGGCTTTGGAATGTGATCAATATTCCGAAGCAACAGACTATTGAGGAGAAGAAGGAGGGGACCGCGGCGATTACAGCTGTCAAGTTTACACCAGTTGGAGGAACGTTCGCAGTGGCGACTAAGGTAAGAAGCGCAGGGCTGAAATTTTCAGAATATACTTGAAATAGAATATAATTGAAATAGAGCTTCATTTTTGTAGTTGACGACTTTCTTGTGCAAACGCGCTCTAATGAGGTATGCTACGTGGAAAGGGTGGGCTTCGTCTCCTCCATTGTATAGAGGTGCGATGCTTCATATCTCATCAGGGCGCGTTTGCACAAAAAAGTTGTCAACTACAAAAATGCTCTATTATTGATTAAGTTACGAAAAACATTATATCAGTTGACAGAATGCTGGTATCTCCCATAGGAGCCGAGATAATTTAGCTCAAAGCGCAAGTACCGTAACTTCTCTAATAGGAAGCACACCACGTTATACGTAAATTTTGAGCTCAATTATCTCGGTTCCTAAAATATATGTCAAAAAGTAATCAACTGGAAAATTATTTATCATTATATCACCAATATCTTTTATCAGTGACACATTTTTTATATCTTTCATAGAAATAGAGATGATTGAGCTCAAAGGGTAAGTAGCCTTCTATTGCTTACATTTTATATTTCCAGGAACCCTCTCTCACTGTCTACCGCATCGATGCTTCCAAAAACTTGCTCGTTATCTCTCGAATCCATCATCTTCCATCTCCATTGATCGCAATTGACTTTTCAACAGACGCTCAATATCTGCGAGCTCAATCCACTGGAGCGCATTTACTATTCTGGTCAAAGAATGGGGAGATCTGCGATGGAAGTACAGTGAGAGATGTAAAATGGGCTAGTTCTCGAGTGAAGATTGGTTTTGAAACAGCACTAGTGGCGCATTCCTCTAATGGTGAGTCCTGAATGAAGAAAGCGAATTTCGAATTTCAAAATTTCCAGGTCAAGTCTCTACAGTATCCCAGAACGATGAACTTGTGGCGGTTGGAATGGAAAACGGAACGATTCGAGTCTACTCAAGTCCAGTGACAAGTGTTACAGCTGGATTTGTAGAACTTTTGGGACATGGAAAGCTTGTGAAAAGTGTGGCATTTAATACAAAGTATCAATTGTTCTCCTGTTCGCCAACTGATAATTCTATTTTTGAGTGGAGTTTAGAATGAATATCCCATGTATTAATTTCAATCTTCCACTTGTTCATTGAGTGCCCTAATGACCCATACACTCCCTCATCTCAATGCAACTTTGTTTGTACATACCGTGACACCATTCCATGCATCCTACTACTACTTTCCACACCGTTTTCATTTTCCCATGCAACATGTTTGTAGGCGCTCTCTTGTCGGAAACTTGCTCTGCGGGTGGTCAAGAGTCACCATTCCAAGTGAGCTAGAAGACGTCCCGTTGTGTGGCAGTGAACAGTTTTTTTCAAGACTCTTGATTCATCCCGGCAGATCTGGGTCAACCACATAGTGTCACAGGTTTTGAAAAACCTTGGCACGCTGCCAATTCTTCACATTCTTATCATTACTATCAGTGATGCATGTGAACCACAATATCTTTAATTTTCTATAGATACGATAAAATGAAAATGTTGGTGCACCTCTTGCCTCTTCTCTGTTGATTGGAGTGTTATCTTTTCACACTAGTGTGAGTCCTTTAACCGGACAATGACCCAGATTCCATAATAGTGGGAAGGTGTATTCGGGTCATAAAGCTAGGTTGCACAATAAGTGAGAAAAGGCGAAGAGGTTACGTTGTCTGGAAAAATGATATGGGAATCAACAGGTCATGATGGTTCCAGGTACTGCTTGGATTTATAATTGTACTGTTTTTTGGGTGCCAGAAGAGTGATTGGATATTGCCAAACATTTAGCCTATGGCGAACATTAGCCTGTTCCAAAAATTACCGTAAATGCTCTGATAGTGCTACCCGAACGGCTGCCAGGCCTCAAAAGCTTGAGGTTCATGAATCAAGATTTTTTTATTTTTCTGCGAGATAACTAATTTCTTATAGATACAGTACTACTAATCACAATAATCCTAATCATTGTACAGAACACAAAGAAGTAGAAAATCCAGGAGCACATCATGCCCGAGATGTAAAAAAGTGGTGAAAATGGATGGAAAATGTTTGTATGTTCACAAGAAGGGGTCCTGAGTGAGGGGGGCAGGGCGTCCTTGCGCACAAGAAGCCAAATATTTATTCAATTTCTATTTATTTATTCGGAACCCTGCCCAACCCCTTTCTCACACCCCATGGGAGTTCATCAGCTGGAACTTGGGCTAAATCTGAAATTTCGGGGTTTTTATCAACTCCAAGGTCATGAACTTCTCACCTTAGCGATTCTTAGGGCTTCTCACACCGGGGCGTGTCAGGGTTACTGTAGGCGCCTGCGGAGGGATAGGGCGATGCGCAGGGGAAGTCGGATGGGAGTGGGTGGAGTTTAGAGGCAGAGACTCAGCCCTACCTCTGTTTCATTAGAAAAGTCCACAAACCCCATGTTTGTCCAGACTTGTTGTTTTTTTTAACTCCCGCCCTCTCTAAATATCTAAATATTTGTTATATTCAAATATTTACATAATCCTCTTCTCTTTGTTCTTCCCCTATATAAAAGCAACTATTTTTCCAGACGATGAACTATCAACCTTACCAGAGGCTCGGAAATGACAGCCGATCGTTCGCAGGAGGATCCGAAAGTAGCGGACAGGAGCTGACGGTTAAAGAATTCGAGACTATTCGGGAGACGATTAGAAGACATGGTACCTATGGGCTAGCGAGACCACCATACTCCTACATTTCAATGATCCCCATGGCGATTTAAAATTCGTCTACACGACAATGGACACTAACGGAAATCTACAACTGGATCATGGGAGTCTTCCCATACTACCAGAATCATCAGCAACGATGGCAAAACTTCGTCACTCTTTATCCTTCAATGACTGCTTCGTGAAAGTTGTTAGGTTAGTTTTGAACTTCTGGGGGGGGCCATAACTTCCTTCAGGCTTTATGTTTTTCGATTAACTAAACTTTGAATGATAGAAAAAATCAATGGCTACAAAATGATATAATTAATAAACCTATATTTTGCCTAGAAAAAAAAGTTACAAGTCAAATACGCGCTGTAATAAGAAACCAACAGTTTGAGGTCAAACTGTTTTCGAGAAAATGTCCGAAGTAAGGAATTTCCTTACTTTTTGAGTATAACACACTAAATTTTATGTTTTACAA